TTACGTAGGGTCCCTACAAGTAGATTGGACTGGAAAGATCCGCTGATCCGTTATCATTGGACGTCGTTTCGTAATGGTCAATGTTTGGAATAGTAATAGTTTTGAAAATTAACTGTGACGCTTGTTAAAGTTTTGAACTTTTGTTGAAAATTGAATGGCATCGAAAATTTCAGAAATGCATTAATTTACACATCGCGTTTATTTTAAATAACCAAAAATTAATAACTCATTTTCAAGAATGGTTTATGAAATAAAGCAAAATGATATCGATGTTAGTAAAACATTCTTTCTAATATCACTAGAGCAGCACAAAAGTTCTGATATTCATATTATAGAAGATCAACTATTTGTGTAATGCTTTTTTTCAATGAGATAATGGATCAAACTGACGATGGTTTCGTTTTAGATAACAAAGGAGAAATTAATTAGAGTCGCCTTTAGGCGTCACATTTATAAGGCTTCGGGATTTTCTCGTTGCGCCGCTTCTATGAACTGCTGACGAAGTTTTATTAATACCTGTGTATATTGTACTCTTGCCTCGTTTGTCTAGAGGTCATCTGTTTAACACGGTCTACTATAATGTGTGTATGTCTAAAATTTCGAGAAAATAGACGTGAAGGAAGTCGTAGTCTGTTTCTAATAGCTATAGGCTATAACTAAGAACCTAATCGACAAAATGACTTAACACTTACACCTAAGTATGTAGGTAGCGCAGTATGGAGCGTACTTTGAAACTAAACACCTGAGACTATATCCACTTTATGGTGTGACATCAGTCCCTGTTATAAGGATTATTCTCGTCATTACGCTTAATTCGTTCCTTAAGCAAGCTACACGACATCATCCAGTTGTTTGTTAGTATTCTGCATAATGTGACTAGGTACTTATGACTCTATATTAACTGCCTAACTAATTTAGACGCTTCTACACATTTCCGTTTACTTACGCACAAAAGGAGTACCGGGCACCGAATACTGAATCATCCATCTTTCCGTATTGCCTATAGAGCAATCTTTGGCTAATGCGTCCATTCTTACCGGGGCCCATAAGACACGAGCACGGACGAGGCTATAGGAAGCTTGCCGCCGCCCGTGCACTTATCCAATTTGCCGCTATTATGATTTATTGGTAGCGTACAAGTAGGCGCCTATGACCTAGACCGACTGCTTCACGACCGAGCATGTCAGCGACGTTCAGTAGGACATTAAATAGCGGGATGTACAAGGAATTTTAGTAGTTATGTAATAACTCTACCGGTAGTTGTCGGCAACCTTTATCACTTATTTCCACCAGAACACGCCGTGGGTTACTAATTTTCGGGAATAGCACAAGTCGTGTGCACGGAAACGTGATGAGAATTGTACTAGAATCAATAAACACCTGATATTTGCAACTGAAATAAGTCACGTTTTTAGTAAGATAAATAGCAGCTTTTCGCGTCTATTGTTAAATCAAAATAAATAGAGTGGTTTTCTGGATCTTTAAAATAGGAATCGAGCAATCTTAAAAACGTCTATACTTTTTTAACTAACAGTTTTGATCCGATAGATGTAGTTATTACAAAGATAACACCCATTAATAACCTCTATATTTACTAATTCACCGATACTTGGAAATTTTGAAACGTCTGTCTTGCGTCTTTAAATATTTGAACTATTCCGTTCCAGGTTTGAACAACACTTGGATGGAAATAGGTACCGAAGTAGATAGGTAAGTAGGTAGGTACCCACAACTAGCTCGGACCGGATCTTATTGATTTCAACTTTACTGGACCAACATTCTAGTAGATTTCAAGGTCTAGATATGCACACTTGTAAATCTATTACCTTAGGTAATAGTTGATTTCTTTGTGAATGTGCTCATGATATTATTACAGTGAGTAAAGTATGGAACAGTCTCAAATGGTCGCAGTCGCAAGTCGCCAGTGCGAATTCCAAGGTACCTATAGATCACGGATATATTTTTGGTTTGGAGAGTGTTTAATGAGCTTTTAGAGTTCTAAACAATTATGGGACTATTATATAAAAAAAACTGGTAAAATCTAGACAGATGGCAAATAAGAACACCCTTGCCTTACTTCCCAAAGAAAATTGTCATGCTCACTCAAAGGTCTCGTGCCGTGGGTCGCTCGGTTCCCTACAATGTGATTGAGTTGGACGGTGCTGGTGTACGTGTCATGTTCGTTAACGGGCGCCGTCAACTGAGACTGGTCAGCTCCAGGCTGAATTTTTTACTGTCCTTTAAGATTATTTTTTTCGACCTCTTTGACTGTATTTTAGTGTTACATTTCTCTCGCACAATCCAAACAACAAAACTATGTACCTAACTAGAGAATTGTATTGTGAACCTGATTGAAAAAGAGTAACCTATGGAGTTTCTTGCTCGTTCTTCCCCATAGGAATCTACACCTTGGAATGAGCAAATAGCTTCACTTTTAATTTTTTGTTGACGTTCAAAAGTGCCTTTCTGGTTTAATTGAAATAAATGATTTTGACTTTGACTTTGAAAAAAACAGATAGGACAGGATAGCCCGATAGCAATGGCTCCTAGCATGACTCGAATTGATTCGAGTTATCTCGTGAAACAGTTACGTAAGTAAACCGTTAAACATAAATACTTCATTATTCATAAATCTTATTTATTTTTACTCTCTAAGATTGGCTTGTAAAGAACGCTTAAGCTCATTGAATGAAAAGACATCCGCAATGAATCGCCACTTCTTTGAAACACGGAGACCTGCCTTCCTACACAATATAACGTGAAATTCGTGTTAAGGCACTTAAGAAAAGCACATGACACATTACTTATGTTACAAATTGTCCATTACCTACTTTAGTTTATCAAGTTTTACACCGATGAGTTTTCCAGTAGATAAACAACACGTAAGTAGGTTTAAGCTATCTACATAAATGTGAAGTAGGTACTTTTAGCTATTTTAGTGCAAACTTGAGACATTACATCCTCATTACATGGCTGTCACATACTAAACTTATTACATTGTTTTACTAGCTTCTGCCAGCGGCTTCGCCCGCGTTCTCGTGGGTTAAATTGGCCTATGTGTTATTCCAGATCATAATCTACCCGTGGTCCAAATTTCATCGCAATCTGTTCAGCCGTTTTGACGTGAAAGTGTAACAAACACACACACGTACATCCTCACAAACTTTCGCATTTATAATATTAAGTATAGTATAGTAGGATAATTATATTGTAGGTATATCTCTCTTCTTTTACCTAGGAGAACATTTAGATGTGTCTATAAAGACTATTAAAGCTGAATGTGATCAACAGAAGCTCTACGGAGAAACGCAAATTGGCTGCTACTCATGTTTGAAGTCAAAATCGCATCAAAACAACATCAATTTGTGACGTGATAAACTCGCAATTAAGAAGTTGGTTTATGCTCGTAACTCATTCAGTTTACTCCAAATAACTGCGGGACTAGGAATGGAAACACTAATCAATGTAAATGTTACTATTTCACATTCATCTTAGCGTAAATAGTTAAGCGTAAGTAGCTTGAGATTATTTTTTTTACTTGTTTTTTTTAAATGTAATCTCTCATCTCTGCCCGTATTATTGATTTGAACAATAATTTTTGTCTCCTCAGCTACATTTTTTATTCTCGATTTTCTTTTTTATGAATAAAACTGCGAGTGTAGTAAGAAAATGCGCACGTGTCCCGTGTTTCACGCATGACGCATGACGCATTGAACGCATGGCGAATGCGAATGTGCACATTGCATGTTAAATTTTTATAACAGTACTCTAGATATTTTCTTTGTACAGGGTGTACATTTTGCAATATTAACAGTTGCCATGTCAATATTTTGTTCTCTTGAAGAGGAATTGATAGCTTTTTTGTCTACCAGAGGAACTCTACTTTAGGCTAATTTTGTAATCATTAACTTCGGTGTGTAAGATTAGTTATTTTAATGGCATTAATTTTGTAGTCGTAAAACTGACCATAAATTACTAGTTATTAGTTAACTATCTAAGAATCATCTTCTGTATGAATAATGAATACTTCTACTGTAGGGAACTATCTACTACAATACTAGGTACTATCAGTTTAGTAGTTGTGTATATGTATTTCCTATCCATGTGCAAGTAGGTCTACACATGGAGCCAAACAAAAAGTTCCCATTTTATATCAAACCTCTGTGATTTACATTTGAATTTCACAATGAGAGGATTTTATCATCTACACATTGTTTCGAAATACTGTGAGCACTTTGTTTGGTCAGAATCTGTATTATCTATCTACCAACCCATGAATGGGTCATTCATGGTTTATTTTTAGTGAATGAGATGTCCATATAAAGGACAAACACACTGAATTAACTCGTCGAGTACCGGTTTTGTAGACACAATTATAGAACAATAGGTTGCGGTCACCGGTGACCGCTTGGTGTTTGACAGTTTAATAAAAGGTATCTGTAGATGTATCATAATTATACTAATACATTATTTATAGTGACATGAATGGCACTTATTTCAAGTGGAATGTGCAATTAAATATATGATAAAAACAATGTTTTCAATTTTACAAACTATTTACAAGTTATTTATAAATTTTCCGTGAGTATGTGTATCGTTAAATGTGTAATATGTGAATATGTTGGTTTAGCTGTTTTCATTGCAATTAAATTAATTCTTAATTTATTACTGTTCTATTTAGAATGTTGTAGGTATACAGCATGCATGACCACATGCATGCTACTGATAACAGTGTGTATTTGTTTGAATACTATGATAATTATTATAGTATTGTTTTAAAATTATTAAGTCTCTAGTTCCATTTTCTGAATCAACAAGTTTATTCAAATACTCCAACAAATTAAAAAATATTACTCAAACATGATCGGGTCTACTGAGGTAAAATGACCATAGGATCTGGTGGAATTAACCCATAAAAAATCGTATTTCAAGGCATTCGATTAACTACTATATTTTCATGCAGTTCATTTTTATGAGTGACTCATTCAAACATAGCTTACCTGGAATCTAGTGGCAGATGGCTGATCCTTGAACCTGGACGGCTTTTCGATATCACGGAAGCTGCTCTTAGTGACGGGAGAGCGGGACTGCACCGTTACTGAACCGTTGGTCGCCGACTCCGGTAACAACCGATCCTTTTCTCCCGGTTCCCTAGTTTTGAACTGTAGTCCGGCCTCCACGTCCTCGCTCCTCATAGGCACATCGGCAGCCGATGGATACTGTATGTTCCCGTTCGTTGCTGCCATCGACTTCGCCGAGCTTATCTTCCTAAACCGCCCAATAATAACATCCTCCTCATCGTTTACCGGCAAATTTAGTTTCTCCGGCAACGTGCTAGTATTACCCTCAGGCTTCACTGGACTCAACTCTATGTCCTTCTGTGGCGTACCCATCTTTACCGACAGTATATATTTGATTTACAGTTATATTTAACACATCATTTTATTTTAATTTTGATACCGGCCGATATTTATAAACACTTATGGTACAGTTTAGTATTCGTTAGCAAAAAAAGTTACTGTTCGTATTGATGAAATAATGAAGAATTTATAAAATATCACAGCAATGTGGTTTTCAGTTAGAATTATAATTTAAAAGCGATGGAGATAAAAGCACGCGGACCGCGCTGCGGAGATATTTCAGACAAACAACCACCTTGCCGTCTATTTGACAACTAACTGATTGTTGAATGAATGAAGGTTAGAAAAACGTAGCATGCATGCGTAGCTTCAAACAAAATGGTTTGTTTCACGAAACCGTTTTTCGTTTTATATTCGTTACTTTATTGTAAGAAAAAATATGTTGTAATAAATTAAAAGAACATATTTTTATTATCGACATGACAAATAGAGTTTTCTACATTTAGCAAAATTTATTTTCATTTATAAATTGAAAGAGTAATTTTAACACTCAGAAGCATTCATTTCATTCAATTCTTATCAGTGACATTGACAGCATTGACACTGACAGTTCACTTTTCGCAATCGCAATCAGGAAATAAATGTCAGTTTGATTTGATCAAGGGTGGGGTAATGTTGTAATTTTTTCTCAAATAATTCAAACAAACATAATTTTGAGATGGGATTCGATGAGGGACAGATAATTTTAGACAGTGAAAATGGTGCATATTATGCTGGCCAAACTGTTTATGGACGAATGATCTTCTCCCAGGATAAAGTTAAAACTATTCATGGTAAGTTCGTGTCTACTATAGATAGCACTGCCCAAAAAAAGCGTCATTTGAATTAACAAGAGTTTTATTGCCAGATTGGTATTTGTGTGTAGGTTATAAATGTTATCTCATTACAATATTCTTGATTTGATCTTAATGGAGGCAGTGACAAACTTTGTTTTCGGTATTTGCTATAATATGCCACGATATAAAAATTAATACAAATATAATTTAGTACACAAATACCAAAATGTGTTATGCAAATTCTCAAGGATTTATTTGGACTTTCATAGAAGAATAAACTCAAAAGTTTTAAACTATGTAGGAGGCTGTTTGAAACTTTTATAAAAAAAAATTTTTTTTCTACCACATGACTATGTGATGTTTATAGTCCAATTAAAAAAAAAAGGATTTTTTATTTTAATTTTTTTTGCCTGACATTTTGTACCTAAAAAAAAACATAAAACTCGAAGAATTTTTTTTTAATTCAAGCAAAGTACCTAGGTGAAAGTAAAGAAGAATATTTTTATTTTATAATATTTAGATAAAATATGAAAATAAAAGAAATTTCAAAATAGTGTTTATTAAACTAATGTGTCAAACATTTTTTCCAGAAATAAATAAATCAAATAAGTTTTTTAAATATTTCATTTTAAAAATTAATATAATATTTTATAAATAAAGATAGTAGTTAAACTTTTTTATTTTCTACCTAATCATAACACATTGTATGATAATGTCAATGGCAGATTCTTTGTATAGTTAGTTTTTGCCTTTGTTTTGCTCTTTGGCCTTGACCTTGAGTTGAAGATTAATAGATTCCATGTGCCACGAGATACTATTTAGGTATACTAAAACCCCTGTATAGTATTATTTTTCTACAAAATAAATATATATATTGTAATGTTCATGTCCATCTGTGTGTATTTGGTTTGGCTGTAGTATATTTTAATGACATAACACGGAACCAGTCTGCTAATTCAGCATGAAAACAGACTAACACAATAATTTTGTAAACATGTGATTTTGTAACAAATATAGTTTTTCTCTTCAAGGTTTTTCGTAGATTTAGTTGCAGTTGCCAATCTTACTAATTATATGACTGCAGAAGTACCTATTTATACACATGTTGTAAGTGTAATTTATTTAAAGCTTCTACAGATTATTGTGACAATGACTGAGATAATTATCCAAATTATAATTGTATTGTCCTACTAATATTATAAATGTAAAAGTTGTGTGTTTTTTGTTTTTTCTCCTTTACGTCAAAACCGCCGAAGGGATCAGGATGAATACAATAAAATGGAATAAACTTTATTGTACACCATTAATAACTTAGTACATACAGGAAAGGAAATGACAAATATAAACAAAAATAACGATGGGCACAAAGGCGGTCTTATCACTTATAGTTATTTCTACCAGACAACCTTTGGGTGGATATAATGAAATAGAAATATTTAAAAAAATTAAATTTGGAACCGGGGTAGATCATGTTCTGAAATAACACATAGGCTACTTTTTGTCCTACGGTAGAGCAGGTGAAGCCACAGGCACAAGCTTGTTAACACTAAAACAAGAAACATTTCTTTATTATTAAGAAATAAGAAAGAAAGAAAAACCATGTATTTTACTAAGTACTTAAAGTTTGTAATATATTCAGCTTGATACATACAAAAATATAAAACATGTTATAGCAATTGTGTTCTTATCACCATCAGGTTTATCTTATAATAAAATAGTAATTGGATAGCCATTGCATGCATAATAATATTTATACAAAAGCCTTGAATTTAGTAATGATGTATGTACTACTTATGTATATTAAGAGAGTATGGTGGCCAGCAGGTCAACCTGTAAATATCTGTCAAATTACTCTATTACATCTTTAACGTTATTGTATATTTTTTTTATAACACGCCGGTAAACGAGCGGACGGATCACCTAATGGTCAGCAATCGGCGCCGCTCATAGATACCCGAAACACCAAGGCGTTACAAGTGCGTTACCGGCCTTTTGGGAATTGGGAATTTGAGGATTGTGGAAGATTTGGGAGACTAAAGAGGGAGGTAATTGGGCCTCCGGTAACCTCACTCACACGACGAAACACAACGCAAGCGTTGTTTCACGTCGGTTTTCTGTGAAGCCGTGATTCCACGGCCAGGAGGAGAGGAGAGGACTTTATGTCATGCTTAGGAGTGATAACTCCGAAGCATGACATAAAGTCGAAAGTGCAATGAATGAATTTGACAGACTGGTATAGGTTGATCTGCTAGCACTGAACACATAATATTTTATTGGAATTATCTGCTCGTCATTTAAATAATAATATTCTGAACTTATAGAATAATATTCTGAATTTTATTGTAAATTAATATTAACAAAAAATCGCCAACTTCTTTATCGTGCAACAAAATATTGTTTACTTATCTACCTTTTGAGTAAATTATCTGGTATTATATAAGAGTTTCAGTTGCACTGAACTTTATCTTATATTTATCATAGATATCACCCAATACTTCTAAAAGAAACATAACAAAATTCTTAAATGGATTTTAAACTTTAGTTGTAAAAGGAATAAGATAGAAAATGTTTTAAAAAAATATAACTAATTGCACCTTTGCGAAGTACATATGAATAAAGAAATATAATAATATAATAAATTTATCTCTTTAATTAAACTGTCAAACACCGCGAGGACACCGGTGACCGCAACCACAATAGGTTGTCTTTAATTGTGTCTATAATGACGGTACTCAACGAGTTATTTATTTTATAAAGTAAATAAAAATATTTATCTAATCTAAAATGATTTCACAGATATTTCAAAAATCTCACAGCTGGTTGAATTAATATGACATTTTATTATTTATTAATTATTAAAACTTATTTATATAAGTACTTATTACATATGTACTTATGTACATGAAATGAGAAAATTAAATAAAAGAAAACTGAAAATAACTTAAATTTGAATAATTGAAGAATGAATATTTTAAAAACATATTATTTCATACATATCCATATTATTATTTACTTATTTATTGATTTTATAGTTTATCTTTTTTGCAGGGATCTATGTGGATATGAAAGGTTTCTGCAAAGTACACTGGTCTACTTCACACACACGCAGAGTGAATGATCGCACTGAACACTACACTGTGAACCACGACTCACATGAAGAATACTTCAGAAGTAAACGATACTTGATTGGCAGTGAAGATGGTGAGTAAAAAGAAAAGATAATAAAATGGCTGCCCCGCGCACTTTCACCCGCTATGCTCGGTTCCTATTGACTGTAGCGTGTTTTATAGCCTACAGCCTTCCTCCATAAATGGACTATCCAACACAAAAATAATTAGTAATTCCGGAGCTTAGCGCGTTCATATAAAGCTGACGAGCCTTATATAATAAGTATGTAATAAGATTATTGCAAATACATACCATAGACAAAGCCTAAAAATTATGATTATCTTTTTCCTTTCTGATTATCATTTAGCTTGGGCTGGATATGGTAGCCTCATGCTCCCACATTCATCCTTACCTTACCGTACCTTATATCTAAAAGCCCCAGAAATATACAAAATCTATTGAAGCATGTCAAGTAGGTTTAGTTTTCCCCACTAAGGTATCCCCCCGGGATTTGTTGAATAGTTTTTTTTTATTATATTTTAGCCTAATTGTAACTCGCCTCTATAACCTATATCTTCGTCATAACTCCTATAGGTCATCTGGAAATACTGCAGGAAAACCTGATACTGATATATTGCATTATTATAAACATGTAACTAATTATATACCTACATTAAATTATCATTATAAGTTAATGGGAAAATATTGTTTCCATACAGCTACAAGTTCATACATCGTATATCTAGTAGAAACAATTAGCAACGTAAACAAAATAATCACTGTATTATTATAACAAAAAACTTTGCTCAAATCGGAATACAAAAATTACTAGAATGTAACCAATTTTTTATTCTCTTTGAATTTCAATGATAGTCTTGCGAAATAAAAGTTAAACAAAAAGACGTCTGTCAGATCGCCAGGAGGTAATAATAGATCATTAAATTCATGAATAGGCAATGTGAGCGACATTGTGAAACTCTGTAGCAGATCAATAGGCTCGCCCGTATTATATGGAACTCAATGAGCTCATTAATACATAATAGGCAGACGAAAACTAGTTGCGCTATAGTCATCTCTAAGGTACCTACTGATGACTGTAATGCAAGTACATTTTATTTCATTTTACAGAGTCAGCCTTTTGTCGTATACTGATTATCTCTTATTGTATAAAAACATAACGAGGACATTTCCAGGCTATCCTAAGAAGCGATTCTATTAAACAAGGAGTGGACCTTATTAATTAAAACTACCGACACCCTTGATATGAGTTGTTGCTTTGGACTAATAAAAGGATTTTTATATACAGAAAAGGGTAAGAATGTAATGTTGTTATGCCTTTGTGCAGGTGAACACCACCTTCAGCCAGGTAGCCATGAGTTCAGGTTCGACTGTCCCATCCCGATCAACTGCCCCTCATCATTCGAAGGTTCCTATGGACACATTCGATACAGACTCAAGGTGGTCATGGTCACCAAAGGGATGTTCTCCTTCAACAAAGACAAAATGGTGCCCATCAAAATCCACGCCCCGTTGGACTTGAACCAGAATCCTTATTGTAGGGTAAGATAGTTTTAAATTACTTGGCTTTTGTTTTAGATTGATTTTTTGATAACTATGTCTGTACATTAAATCTACCTAGATTCATCTGAAACTTGACTATTTGTAAAAAATGTATCTTATACTGGTATATATTGTATATACTGGTATATACTGGTATAAGATACATTTTTTACATTATCCAATGTGTAAGTGATATTTGTACTTAATTATATTCAATTCACATTGTTTACCCAAAATGAATTAACAAATTTTATTTAATAAGGCATTACATACCTCTTATACCTCTTACACCTTAACATTAACGTTTATTTTTGTCTGTTTCATAGGAACCGATGGAGTTTGACCTGTCGAGCTCGTACTGTTGTTGGTGTGTGAGTGCTGGTCACTCGGAGGTGATGGTGAGGATGCCGGTCAGTGGGTACTGTCCCGGGCAGATCATACCCATGGAAGTATCCTGCAAGAACGAGAGCAGCGTCGAAATTGATGAGATTAAGTTCGCTATTAAAAAGGTTGGTACAAAGTATTAAATCCCACAAACTATTACTAAAAATAATGTATCATCCATGATTACAACACCTAAACCATATCCAGGATGTGCAATACATCGCATCATACGAACCGGGGACTCGCAACGACCACGACACGGTGGCAGAAATAAAGAAAGGACCCATACCCGGCCGCACCACGCGTAACTGGACCATAGAGATGGAAGTACCTTCTATGGACATATACAATGTCAACGCCTGCCGGTATATTGATATTAATTATCATTTCAAGGTATGACGTCACAAAGTATTTGAAATGGTTGCAAGATGCCCAATCTGTGGGAAGCATTCAGTTTCATATTGTTTGTGAACAGGTGTCGACTGAAGTGGGCGGATGTCACGATGATTCCGAAGAGGTCCGTCCAATAATATTCGGTACTATTCCCTTACAAGGTTTTCAAGATAACGTGCAAAACCCACTTCAAGATCAATTGCCTCAAGTCAATATCCAAAACGTTCAAAATACTTACCCTCCACCACCCGTCATGAATCAGCCACAGCCTAACCCGCCTTACACTAATGGATATCCCAACCCTTACCCTAATAACTCGCCTTACCCTGGTGCTCCTGGTTATCCAACTACTCCTATTATGGGCGGTAGAACCTCTCCGTATCCTGGAAATCAACCTATTGTTTCCCCGTACCCACCGAATCAACCTTATCCTGGCGCTTCGCCTTACCCTGGAGGACCATCGCCTTACCCTAGTAATACTCCTTACTCAACGGACAATGGTCCAAACCAAGCGCCGCCGTATCCGGACGCTGCACCCCCTTACCCTGGCGTACCCGGCGCCTCGCCTCCCTATACTGGCGTACCCAGCGCTGCGCCCCCTTACCCTGGCGTAACTACAACGACGTTGGTGAAAACTGGCAACATGGGATTCTCGGCAGTACATGGTGGAGACCCTGCCGCCATGCCATTGTTACCCCAAGGAACCAACGTGCCTTATGTAAGTTGAATACGTCAGTTATTCTATCTTCTCTCTAATTAATCATTGTTCATGATATAACCTGTTTTTCTTAATTAATGCTATACTATAGTCTCTATGAAGTTTACTTATAATATTCTTTGCTACAGCCTACTAGCCCCCCGTCGAATCCGTATGCGACTGCGTCGGCGCCTGTCCCATCCACACCCGGTACAGATGAAAGTAAGTACTACATAATCTAAAATGATAGTAATATGTATAATATAAAATTGTCCAAATAACTGCCTTCAAGTGGTTACAGGCACAAGTAGTCTCGGGTTCGATCCCGCTTTTAAAGAACAAAGTGTTTTAAGTCTTTTCGGTTATCGAAAATTCTCAGTAGTACCACGAATGGTGCAATGCAATGATACCCAGTATAAGGTAAAAAAGGCAATAATACTACCACTATACACGGAACTTATAACACAACTGAAGAAAGGTGTTACAATTAATAAAGGCGGAATGTTAAAGTGCATGTCTTTATCACAGAAAAACCACCATTGGCTGTACCAGAAGAAACTTCAGCCGCTCCGCCGTACAACCCAGAATTCATGAAGGAAAATGAGAAAAAAGATCAGAAACTTGACAAATCAAACTAAATGACACCTAATCTACCTCAAAATTCTAATAGACCGGACATAATGTTGGTGCCTTGATGTCGGTGCCTTCATTTGAACTTAAATCTTATGAAGTTAGAAATAAAGTTCAAATTAATAAACTGGCATCTAACAAGCTGCCGTAAACAATAAGATATAGACATGTTCAAAACTGTTTATAAAATATACTAAGGTATAATTATTACAAAATAAGTCATCACACACAATGACACTTAATTTTAATAATAAATATTTTTTGAAATGTACACCATATAATGTCTTTAAACGAATGTGGAGCCCTCTAGTGGATATATAAGATAGAATGTTTATGATCTCGTTTGGTTTAAAACCTAGAGGTAAGATGGCATTAAAAATGCTAAATATTGAAATTAACGTTGGTTACCAAGGCCTGTATGGATTTAATATTAAGAATATAAACGTAACAAATATAATTTACGTTTAAATAATAAATAAAAGTTTTACTTGTGCTGTGCACCACTCTTTTTGGGGGTTGGGAGTGTCAAAATAAATTGCGATAAACAGATATAGGTATATATATATGTGCCATATTAAATGGTGCTGTATAAAAACTTTGAAGGCAAAATGCTTTCTCTCTAATCTGACTTGTACTTGAAAATGTATACTTTTGTTAATACTTAACTCTTTGAAAGAATTACTATAAATATAATGTTTGCAAAAGTACAGCTCCAAAAATATTTTTGATGAACACATTTTTTGTATAAGACGAAAGTAAATTCTTTATCCCTTATGCCTTGTTCGCACTATGCTAGTAATTTGGTCGAGTAGCGAGTATTTAGTAATTCTCTCTCGCTTTGATTTTAAGAAAGAAACGATGAGATAACTACTGAACACTCGCTACTCGTCAAATTACTAGCGTAGTGCAAACAAGGCATTACGGCTTTTGATAAATTCATATATTTACTTTTAATGTTTATTATATTGTTGTAATGTTACAAATTATTATTATAATAAGAGCTTTTTTACATTTTTATTATACCTAGGTACTCGTAATTTTGATATATTGGAATTTTTATAATGTTTTATATTTTGCAGCTTTTAATATTAGATTCTTTAATTAAGGTAAAATATAAGATAAGGTTATAAATTAAGTAATAGATGAACGTAAAGGACCTTCATTATTGTGAATTTAAATGTTCATTATTATTGTCAAACAGTCTGGTAAAAAAGCCTTTTACAGAAATAGGTGTAAAGATATTTACAATAATATTAGACATACAATATTTTGTCCATCGGTACTTAATGCAACGTTATGCCTTACATACTTATAGGTACTTGAATGTAATTAAATGAGAAGCATAGTATGTGCATTGGTGTTTCCTGCTCGTTCTTATCCATTCGAAACTAGACTTTGGAACAAGCACCAGCAAAGCTTCGCTGACAGACAGAACGGAAGGACAATTGAATTTTGACGTTTCAAAAATGCCTGATGAAGGATTAATTTGAAATAAATGACTTTTGACTTTGTCCATTTAGGAAAATTAATAATACAGTTTATCTTCTCGCATATGTATTGTAAATCGCCGTTTTATGGACCGCGGTCAGTTGTCAGTCATTGTCCAATCTGTAACTATCTTCAGTCAACATAATGCAACATGGAAGAAAGACATTGCCTGCCTCGTTGGCCTAGAGGTCGCAAGTGACTGCTAGGCAAGCGTCTTGGATTCGATTGTTGGGTCGGAATTAAGTGGCATTAAGTGCCATAATGTACACCTTAAATAAAGGCGTGATGTTATGTTATGAGAAAGAAAGACATACAAACACAATTTCACGTGTATATTTGTAAGGAAAGGCGATGTTTAGGTTTGATATAGAGAACAAAATTATTTTTTGAATTAAAATTTATCAATTTTTATTTTAAAATTAGTTTTATATTTAATAAGATTTATGTTCGTCTACGTGCTGATTTTTTTATGTTACGATGTTTATAGTGCTTCTATAAAATAGAATTAATTGTCTTGATATAAAGAATATAAAATATTTACCATTTATAAAATTGTCAATGCAAAATGTATCTTATAATTATATATTTAAAGTGCTTTATCTATAAACTAGTCAGTACAAACAATACTTAAACTGTTTTTCTATAATGTGCCTTAAAATACGTTACGAAATATATTTTAGTTAAGAAAACGCATTTATACCTCTTTATGTCGGATTAAATCCAATCTACAGTAAGTGTTCCTGTTTGAACAGAAGTACAATAACTTTATTATGAAGAAATACTTAGGGAAAGGATCTTCGCAATGTATTTAGTTGTAAACTCGAATATATTTTATGAAGCTTTGACTTTTATTAAGACTATGTAATCGATAATAAATCATGTATATTACCTACCTGTGTGTAATTTATCAAACCAGTCCTCACCAACCTTATTTGCAATTAGGTATGTACACTTTATCAAGTAGGTATAAAGTTAATTATAATTTTCTTGTCACGAACACATAATAATTATGGTATTTATGTATATGAAGAATATGATCATTACTACTTATTATTACAATAATCCGTGTTTGTATCAAAATAAGATAGTAATAGCGCGACAGTCGCCGCCTCGCGGCTCAATGCTACTCATGAATATGAGACTAGCATGGCTTGAAACTAGTCGAGTTCCTTGTCAAACGTTTATGTGAATAAGCCAAAAGCATAATAATTAAAATAAGACGATGCGAAAACAAAAAAGTACAAAATAAATTCTTTGCTTTCAGTAAATAAGTGAAATAATTTAGCGGCATAGAAGACATAATGGTACGTAGATCGTACTCAAAATGTACTAAGACCACAACAATTATGCAATGCGTCATTAGCACACAAGTATGTTAGCCGGCGCGCGGCGCCCGCGCAGCCGAATAGCAACACAAAAATCATAGGCTAAAAATAAACGCGAGCGCCGACTGTTGATCTGCAATAAGCCGTTATGTACCTTACAAATTCACATGGAAGTGCTAACAGAATAATAAATATACTATGTATGTGTATGTGTGTGTCTGGTTCAATAAAACTACAGTTTTCTCACGATAACAATGCGTATATTTCTCGTATAGGTACAAAATAAAAAATATCAAAATATTTTATGGAGTCAAAATATCGTATAACAGTTTTTGTTCTAAACAGGATTACAGTTTTTCTTAACATTACATTAGAAGTCTGCGCATATGGGCGGTATCAGACGACAATATAAATTCAACTGTATTGTTAATAACATAGAGTTTGTTTTATAATATCATTATACCTACATATTACAGATTAAAAACAATTATGAAGTACTCATGCAACCCGTGTGTATGATACTTCTTCCTTAGTGAGATTAAGCGCCAGACGTTTCGCGCTTCAGTAATTAAATTATCGCGTATTAAGGTCATGTGACGCACCTCCAAATATGCGTAGACTCCCGTTCATTATTAATACGCCTTTGTGCTCTCTTTTATCATCATACTCCAGTTCCAATCATACTTTTGTGCAAATATTATCATACTCTAACAACTTTACAAGTATAATGTGGCTTGACGTGTAACACGGTAACTTTCTAAGTGAAATAGACATCTATGTATTCGAGACAAATATTTTAGAAAAGATTTTAGATAAAGATAGTCACTTAAATATGTTGGGGTTGGCACTGAATCTTATATATTTGGGCTGCATATCAGTATGCTACGTGGGGCAACTGTCATCTAGCCTTAACATCTAAGGTAGATCCTCACAAGTGCTTCATTTTATATCCTTGAAAGTCACCAGTTTAGTCCTAAATCACTTACATTCTTTCAACAATCAGATCCATATATAATAAATATTTCCACACTCCTCAAAGGAGTTTCACAATGTTCGCCTTACCAAAAGACTAGAACAACGCTTCCTTAACTTACTGTAAGCACCATGTCCAACAAAGAATAGAGAATAAAAAATAAAAATGTAAAAAACTACTACCAACGAATCTAAATAAATTTGGAATTAACAACTTTAATTTATTATGAGTAAAGTTCATTTCACAATACGTGTACGATGCACGTACGAACATTTAATAATTTATTACTGTAACAACAAAAATATAAGAAAATAAAATAGGAAGAAAGAAAGAACGGAACAAGGCACGACAGAGGGCGTACGTGTAGCTTATTGTAACAGTATAAATGTTAGCACCTAATAAAAAATAATTACAAAATTGTACTTTTGAAGTACAATCAACTGTGACGAAGCTTTTAGCACCGTATGTAAAATCAATTAATAATAATTTTATAACAATAAAAAAACATTATTCCAATTAATATCTCTACAGTATATCATATTATAATTATTATGTATAAAGTTAAGAATTATAAGGCGATATCTATTATCATTATGCTTAAAAATAGTAAATATTATGGCATTTGTGTATTATTTGTCTGCAATAGACAATATTGTCTTTTAATTAGAGGCACATAATTAAGTAACTTTAGACTGTACAGAATCTAATCAAAATATTGAAATTGTTAAGTACCATTTCCATACATTTATCTCAGCGCATTGTCAACTTTATGTTCTGAGTAGTAAAGATATTTTTGCAGTACAAGTTTCTAAACCAAATGTGTTAAGTCACTGTAAAATATACTTTAATTATTTACGTAATAAAGTTGAGATTTCAATGCACCAAGGTCCATTTAAGCACGATTATTTAATGTTACAATTATCAAACATTTATAATATCTTTTTAAAGATTCTTAAGGCCATGATTATAATAATTAAGTCGAATATAAGACAATAGTCAATAATAAATGCTCTTATGTCTAAGTAAATTTATGTATATACAATCATATTGTATTGTATTTCAATTTGTAGATAACATACATCATCGGTAATTAATTGTAATCCTAAAAATGTCTTCCTGAATAACTTTGCCTCCAATAAGAAAATAAATATGTGAATGAAATCACACGGAAAACATACCTACTCATTTCAATTACTCACAGGATAACTTTGAACAAAACTTGCATTCAAATATTAATTAAATACCAACAGCAATACTATAGAAATAACAAACTTGTCATTCCTTTCAAAAATAGAAATAAGGCAGAAGAAATGAGGATTTTTATAAAAAAGAAGTACTTACGAAGGCGGTGGGGCTGACGGCGCGAATCCTCCTTGAGTATAAGAGGGACCAGGCATATTGCTTGGAGGGTAAGGAGATTGTATACTAGCCTCATAAGATGGAGGATTGCCTCTTCTAACCGGAGGGTTTGTCGGATAAGCCGGACCAGACCTCGGGTACCCCGACCCAGCACCCGGATACCCTGTATTTACATCAGCCGGTATTGTGAACCCTATCTCAAGTTTAGGCTTCATTTCCATTTGTGCTGGAGATGCTGATCTAGGTCCAGGGTAGCCGCTGTTTAGACCAGGGTAAGGAGGAGGATTTTGGTAGGGGTTTAGTTGAGTAGGGGCGTATTGCACTCTATTCAGGCTGGCGTTGGACGACCTTACAGCATTGGTGATGATGACAGGAGGAAGCAGGAGATGGGGTGGTGCCTGACTGATGTCTGGAATAGGCCCCGTTGGCAAACTATCAGCCAATGGATGCACATACTCTTCAGTAAATTCTCTCAAAGGTACCAATCCAAGACAGATCTCACCTTCATCTTGTAGTTCGTCATTACATCCTGATAGTTTTATTGTTACCTAAAATAGAAAAAGATTTTGTAGGTCCACGGTTTAATAAAAAAAAAGACATTATGTAGCTATACGTTGTTTCTTGCTCATATTCCTTCGAAAATTAAGACTATCTTACCCTGAAGAAGTACCCAACATCGATGATACCGCAGTTCTCAAGGTAAGGTGGTATAATCTCAGGCACTACGAGATCACAGGTAAGGCTCCGCTTGCTCCGCGCCATTACGGGCCCCTTCTTTGTGGTGGCCAGCACTGTCTCCGGTAGTATGTACTCAGAGGGCGGCTGGTGACTGCGGTATAGCTCTTTCTGTTAACAAAATTAAACTGTCAAACACCAAGCGGTCACCGGTGACCGCAACCTATTGTTCTATAATTGTGTCTACAAAACCGGTACTCGACGAGTTAAGTAATGAATAATATTTTTTTCATAATAAAGTAAAAATGAACCATCATATGCCAAATCGTGTGTTTATTTAGAAATTCGAAATTGAAAGATCAATTATAAGTTCTTTAACTACCACGATATTCAACTATTATGTTTTCGGCTTACTCACGAAACTATTTGACGAAGGACTCGACTAATTACGAATATGAGCCTCTAGCGTGGCTTGAAACTAGTCGAGTTCCTCGTGAAACAGTTACTTGAGTGAGCCGAAAACATAATTGATTTAGTTTGTTTCACGAAAGTTGTAATATAAACATAAAACGATATTGTTTCGTAGGGTGAATCTACAACACAATAGTATTTCATAAATTGTCAAAAGTTGTACTAATATTTGTTTATATATCTAATAAGCTGAATACCCTCAGTATTAAGTGCCTACATTTTAAAACCAGAGGCCTTAGTATGAGTTTGTTGTACGTTTAAAGTAATCGTAACGAGTACGCGTTCGGCGATCTGATTGGTTCGTTGATTGGCGCCGGCCAATCAGAGTGCCGGATACGAACTCGTTACGAATACTTTAAACGTAAATGAAACTCGTACTAAGGCCTCTGACAACAAACATAGGTAGGTAGTATCATAGTATGTGATCTGCGCGATGACCTTCGCTATCTATTACACAGTCGGGCGTAATCATCAAATGTAATAAAATTGCGATTGTGTAATCTTAAATTCGCAAGTGTACTTCACTAGTGATCCCAAAAGTTTATATTATTATTAGCAAAATATTGAAACTCAAAAATTGAAGGACCCAGTCCTGACTGTTAAAGAAACTCATGAATGGTCAGTCAAACACAGGTGAAAAACAAACAAATGGGTATTTTTTTTTTAAGGGGGGAAAATCATCGAATGACTGATCCCGCCTCGGTGAGGCGGGAGGGAGTGTCAGACTCTTACTGACTGAAAACTACCCCGTTCCTTCTCCTGCACGTCGAGCCGGAGCCTCGGTTACCCGTTAGGTTCTCCAAATGGGTAATCAACATTGTAAAATTTATGGGTACCTAACTCATTAATTTTAGATTACAGTTTCCGTAAACAATTATTATACAAATTATTAGGTACTACACAAGGAAAAACATGTGGTACTATGTAAATGTAATACTAAATAAACGTAGATTAGAGGTGGTCGTAGTAAGTAGCGATATGTAGATACCACCAACCCCTACAGATAAGAGGTGATTTTTATGTATAAGTGGTAATAGGACTGCCTCGTTGGCCGAGTGGTCGCAAGTGCGACTGCCGTCTTGGGTTCGATTCCCGGGTCGGGCCAAGTATTACTGGGTTTTTAAAATCACAGTAGTAGCACGGAGTCTGGAATTGTGCCCGGTATATGGCAATAGGCTCACCCCCTATTACTTGGGACCATAACATAAATAGTGAAAAGTGGGTGTTACGTTGTACAGTGGCATTAAGTGCCGAAATATGCACCTCTGCCTACCCCTCCGGGGATAAAAAGGCGTGATGTTATGCTATGTGGTAACAGGAAGGCCACAATAAGCTGACCCCAGTGCTTGGGACCAAGATAACGACTTACCGACACAATTTGGAATATCATCTTAGTGATTTCAACACTGCTTTGGTTGACAACTTCAATCGCGATGGGTATGACCTGCCCAGGGCAGTAACCAGAGTACGGCAACTTTACGCGTATTGTAACAGGGTTGGTACTGCAGAAACAATCGCAGCCATACACTTCTTCAAATTCCACTTGGGTAGGTTGCTGGTAAAGAAAATATTGTTTTAGAGCTTTGTCGATGATCAAGTGGTTGCAAATACGAGGGCTTTTTTGAGGGTAGAAAATCATCCAACGGCTTCTTGCGCCTTAAGTGGGACGAGAGAGTTTCAGACTCTTACTGACTAAAAACTAACCCGTTCCTACTCCTGCTTTGAGCTAGAGCCCCTGTATCCCATCATTGTGCATTATTGGGCTCCATCTGTGGTGGTCTGTTGGCGCGAGTTTAGAAACTGAGATGTGATTGTTGGCAAAACAGTAGGTATCGAGTTTTTGGTTCTCGAAAGAAAATCTCAGAGTATTGATTCGCCCCTTTTACAAAGGACTCGTTATATTAGCTACTGAACAAAACTAGTGTGCTACCGTGACTACAACCTCTAGAGACAAAAAAAGAAAAAAAATCTCATATTAACTAATTTAATTTTTATAAATAACTAGCGACCCGCCCCGGCTTCGCACGGGTGCAATATGCATGTATTATACATACAAACCTTCCATAAGAATCAATCTATCTATTAAAAAAAACCGCATCAAAATCCGTTGCGTAGTTTTAAAGATCTAAGCATACATACGGACATACAGCGAAAGCGACTTTGTTTTATACTATGTATTGATTGATGATAGAACTCACTTTAATCAAAGTACTTCCCAAATTCAGATCAAAAGGTGCTACAACTTCGAATTCCTTTTCCAACTCATCAACCAGTATTGAAGGGTCTGCATGTACCAAGTGTGCTTTCATGGAGTATGTTATTTTACCCTGTTCTCGTTTCAAGGAGGAAGGGGCATTGAAAGGAAGCTGATAAGTGAAGGCATAGGATTGCGGACCAGCGGACAGTTGGGAAACACCTGAAATAGATTAGAAATTAAATAATGTGATAACCACAAACAATGGTTTAACATTTCTATGGATTTGTTATTTGGAGCGGAGACTTAAGAATGAGCAAGTAGGTAGGTTGGTCTAATTTGAATAAAATATTTGACTTTAAACTGTCAAACACCAAGCAGTCACCGGTGACCGCAACCTATTGTTCTATAATTGTTTCTATAATGATGGTACTCGACGAGTTAATTCCACAAATTCAATACATTAGACAGTTTATACATTTTACAAATAAAAAAGTTTAATATTAATTTTGCAGGTAGTACAGTAAAAAGTTACTCTATTTAAAATTCAAGGACAGTTGAATGGGTTTTTGTACTCTTTGTCATGCATAGGAAGATTTGAAAACAACAATACATAAAAAAAATATGGATAATCACTTATTGTTTACCTTCACTGAATGTGTAGAGAAAAACTTCCATTGTACTTATCATACCTACCTACCGTTTGAAAAAAAAACAAATTTAAACTGTCAAACACCAAGCGGTCACCGGTGACCGCAACCTATTGTTCTATAATTGTGTCTACAAAACCGGTACTCGACGAGTTAACCCATAAATCACCAAGCGGTCACCGGTGACCGCTTTCCACTAATATTACATTACATTATAGACCTTATTTGTAATGTTTAGAGACTACTTTTGTATGACCAAATTTAGGGGATGGATTTCAACGGGTTAATGGATTTTATTGTAAAATGAAGTGCCTAATCTATACTGACCTGTCCCTCCAGCCAGTGTAACTCTTTGGTTAAAGTATTCCTCTCGGCCAACATAATTAATAATTCTATGATTCTGAACACCATTCACAGTCTCTATTTCACTCTCAGTCCAAGACACTGTGGCCTCTCCAATAAATTGAATGTAGATTACTGAAATAAATATAATATTAGTACTTATTACAAAATATTCCTACCTACATGTTTAGTCAACTGTAAATAACAATTTTACACCTGATAATAATATTTTTGGCTCTATGCTACCGCTAAGTATAGGTCAGTGAGTCATTTTAGGAGTGGAAACAATCCTGATAAAAACTAGAAAATATGATATTTAAAAAACATAAATGGTTCAGAGCATCAACTACCCCCTAGGAAGGATCTATTTTATATCGTACAAATCGTTAGGAACTTACCAGAAAAAGATATTGGGTTATCCAGAGTAAAGTCTATGGATCCTGATACAACCTGGCCGGAGTAATACACCGGCTTCGTGTCCAACTTTATCTCGCCCTTGACGAAACCGCCAGCCATTATCACTTATTTGCATAAATAATACTCAAAAAATAATAATAAGAAACAGTGTTTTGAAAAAACTTATTTCCAAATAAATTTGTAGATATTCACTAATTACCCATAAAGTCTGTCACAATAAATTAATATTCATAGTATATTGCAAGTCGCAGAAAACAATTTAGACCCAGACAGGTTAACGGAGGAATTTTGGTTGGGCAGTGCCCCAGTGCCCAAAACTGTGGGTAATATTTAATCGAGGACAATTCGATTGTTCTGGTAAACAAAACTCTGGATCCACTGCATTAGGGTTTAATTTGGCTAAATGTTGCACCGTTATCAATAACGATGAACGTTGACGTTGACGTTGACGTTTCCCGATGACCTTCTGACTGATTGGTGGACTGCATTCATTGTTCATTCATGATATTCGTTATCGCCTCATTCATTCAATTTTATACAAAGTTCCGTTTAGTTGTCTCAGTTTCCAACAAGAAGTGAGTGTTTGCAATCGTAAAAAAAAAATTTATAAAATAAAGAGACAATCGCTATAATTAAAAAGAGGTATTCTGTTGAAAGAAGTTGATGAATTGGTTAAAAAATAATAATAATCATTATTAAGCTACCCATAAACTTTGAAACCTCATAGTCAAACGCATGTCAATTGTCAAACGTAACTCGGCACGAGTCATCAAATATTAAAGTCAAATGTGACATTGACAAATGACAATATTGACATTTCCTTTGTGCCCTAGTGTCTATGATGGAATCACGTTGTTATTATTAAAATTAAAATCTGATGATAATATAAATAACTTTCAACATGGGCAAGTTAGACGTTGCAATATTGCGTTATTTAACAGCTGAAGACTTTCGCGTCTTAACCGCAGTAAGTATGCTTTCTAAAATAACATCGTGTAACCTCAAACCAAATACTACTATGCTAAACTTTGTTTTAAATTCTTCAATTGCAGGTGGAAATGGGTATGAAAAACCATGAACTTGTGCCTGGATCACTGGTGGCATCTATAGCTAACCTCCGTCATGGTGGAGTGCACAAACTAATGAAAGATTTGTGTAAACATCGATTGTTGACATATGAACGTGGTAAACACTGTGAGTACATTATTATCTTTTACAATAATTATTAATCGAATAAATATAATGTAACGCGACTGAAAGGGTGGACAGAGGCCAATGTGCTGATAAAACTAATCATAGAATATTGTATTCTTTTAATAACTCATGTATTTACTTCTCTCAGATGATGGGTACCGTCTCACAAACTCTGGTTACGACTATCTTGCTCTGAAAGTTCTGACAAACAGAAAAGTTATTGCTTCATTTGGAAACCAGATCGGTGTGGGAAAGGAATCGAACATTTACACAGTAGCTGATGAAGACCGCAATCCATTATGTCTGAAGCTCCACAGGTAAATAACTAAATTAATTTCTCTTGTTATAATTTAAAGCATCAACAGTTTCATGGTATTTTAGAATTAGTGCAGAATTTTCAGTCTACATTTATAAATAACCACAAAAGTAAAACTATATAATTTCTAGGATTATGTTCCAAAAACATTTTGGATGTTTCTTTATTTATTTATTTTAAAGGATTTATTTTAAAGGACAAGTGCTCAGCTAAAATGCCGTGACCTGAGGGTGACAACTCAATAGCATAAGGAGGACTTAATGCTAACAGCATTATTCTCTGCCAGTAAGTGGTATGCATGTGATCTAAAGTCTTTCTACTATTATTTTAGACTGGGCCGCACATGTTTCCGCAACATAAAAGATAAAAGAGACTACCATGCACACCGCAATAAGGCATCCTGGCTGTACCTGTCCCGTATATCAGCAACCAAGGAGTTTGCATATATGAAGGCTTTGTATGACAGAGACTTCCCTGTTCCCAAGCCTATTGACTTCAACAGACATTGTGTTGTGATGCAGCTGGTAACTGGTGGACCATTGTAAGTACAAAAATTAGTAACTAATTTAACATTCACAGTAATATGCTGGTCTGAAAATGTTCCTTATGGCAATTACTGTAAGTCTACCACTTTTTTATGGGATTTCATAACATAATATTTAGTGGGTTTCCCAGGGGTGCACCTTAGGTCCAATGCAAAATTCACTAAATCATACTTGATTGTTGACCAGTGTTAATTATAATATCTATATTGATTTTAAAATTGTATTAATATCCTTCATTACAGAACTCATGTATCTTCAGTGGAAGACCCTGAATCCTTATATGATGAGCTGATGAACTTAATAGTGAGACTTGGTAACTGTGGTGTCATCCATGGAGACTTCAATGAGTTCAACATAATGATTGATGAAGACAATCATCCTGTCATCATTGATTTCCCACAGATGGTCTCCACTTCACATCCTAATGCTGAGCTGTAAGTCTAATTTAATTTAAAAAAAAATGATGTATTGATAAATGACACTCGAAAGTAAAAACTTATTTTTAAGCTATTAATTTTAGTTATCATTATAGCCACAATTTATTTCCTTTATAGTTACTTCGATCGGGATGTTCGCTGCGTCCGCGAGTTCTTCAAAAAACGCTTTGGTTATGAGAGCGACCTTTATCCAAAGTTCAGCGACCTCGAGCGAGATGACGAGCTTGATACAGAGATCGCTTGTTCAGGATACAAACGTACCAAGGATGTTGATAATGAGCTGCTTCAGGTAGAAACATTATTTTTAAAATGTACTGATTAAATTGCATGGGACCCAAAATGTTACCCTGTAGTACACCAGAGACTAAAGTTTACTAAAATTATCAATGTAATGTTATTGTTTTCAAATGGTGTTGTCTGCTATTTTCCAGGAAATGGGCATAGGTCTTGAAGTCAGTGATGATGAATCAGAATCTGATGATGATGAAGAAGAAGAAAAGAGTAACAAGATGACAGAACAAGAATTAGATGACCTTAGGAAAGAGGTAAATAATTATTTTGCTTTTAATTATCTTTTATTGATTTGTGATTCAAAATGTTAATAAGTTCTATAAAATATTTTAGGTGGATGAATCAATACTGAATGATGAACGCCCTGTACATCAACTCACAACAAAAATAGTTAAACTAAAAATAACAGGACCAGAACAAGACAATGAAAACGACATCAAAAAGGATGAGGAAGAAGAAATACCAGAACTTGTAGATCCAACAGAAGAAACATCTGATTCAGACCTAGACAAAAACTCCCAGAAATACAGACTTGCGATGATCGAAAAAGCATTGTCAGATGTAAGATCAATGAGGACATATTCGTCAGCAAGTACGATAGCGCCAGAAATCGTGAAGCAGCAAGTAAAAAAGAATCTGGAAATGCAACGGAAGAAGATGGAAAGGAAGAAGGCGATAGCTAAAGGAGAAGCGAGTGCCGTCACCAGACAGAGGAGAGATAATAGAGAAACTATCAGAGAGAGCCATGGGCTGTGGGGATGGGATGAATAAAATATTTATATTTTATTGTGATTGTTTTTATTTCTAAGTGCCTAATTTTTCATGCAATGTATGACAAGATGGTTTCAAGCGCAATCTTTTATTTACTTTCATCCACAAATTCTCGACTGTTATCAGGCTGATCTGTACCAGGTTGAATATTGGTGATCTTTGACCAGTCGTGATGCCTCCTGTAGAGCACTTCTAAGTATGTTTCTGCACAAAATATCTGAAAGCAACCATACACTTTTATCAGTTCACCAAGATAAAGACTTTATTTCTATTATTACAGGATGCAGTTTTCTTTGGCACTTAAATTATTTAATTTGATTTTAAATATTAGACTTAATATCAGTATATTTGAAATGTACCTTTTTTAATTTCTTCTTGTAAACAGAGAAACCATCCAATCTACAAGTGTAGCCAAACTCACTTGTTGTCGTTTTAGACTCGAACGCCGTGACGTAGTTATCATCACTATGAAACGGATAATTTAGCAATTTATAGGTTCCAGCTCGAAGGGGGCATTTTATTCTATAAATATAAATAGTAAAATTACTTTTCATTATGTTTACATAACATAACATCACACCTTTTTATCCCCGAAGGGATAGGCAGAGGTGCACATTTCGGCAGTTAATGCCACTACAATGTAATGCCCACTTTTCACTATTTATGTTATAAGTCCCATGTAATAGGGGATGAGCCTATTGCCATATACCGGGCCATTTCCAGACTCCGTGCTACTACTGAGATTTTTAAAATACCCAGTAATACTTTGCCCGACCCGGAAATCGAACCCGAGATCCCTTGCCCGGCAGTCGCACTTGCGACCACTCGGCCGACGAGGCCAGAGAGCAAAGGTATTAAATGTTTAATTTTAGTACATAAACTTTCCTTGTCTTAACTGTGTCTAGGGGTCACGAGGTCTCATGAAAGCTACAAAACAAAACCTTACTTTGGCATTGTGTAATTGAAGAAGGTACTATACAAATCTGACTCATTATCAGTGGAACTGCAGCCATTATTTATTACAAAGAATGATTTGAAGAAGTCGCACGAGTCTGTATTACGTATGTCCGCACATTTGTTCATAGTTGCCTGGGAAATAAGAAATTACCTACTTTAGTTATATAACTAAATTATAAAAGTCCTAGAGTTCCACAAACTACCCACCATCTATGAACATGCTATGAACTAGATTTTATTTACCTTAATCTTCCAACCATTACCAATATTTTCAGAAATATGAAGCATACCGCTAAGCTTAGAACCGTATTTCTGTGTTGTAACGCTGAATTCTGAAACTTTGAATATATTTTTCTCTTGATTGTGGCATGGCCCAACACGCGTTACTAATAAATGCATAGGTGCTTGGCCACTCTTTATCATAAGTATATAAGGAATAAGAAATATTATACTAAGTAAGCACATTTCAAAATATTATAGCAAACTGGATAAAATACTGTTGATACTGATTTTTAGTATTTCACGTAGGTAATAAATAGCCACGAGGTGTGCGAAATAATGAGTTTATAATGTCTTTATAATAGGGGTTCAATATTAAAAGCTAATAAATAGATAGAATGATAAGATCATAATTATTATATTGCGATTGCGAAGGATTGTATTAGGCAATGCAGTATATTGCCATTTGCCTTTCATTACTGAACCAAAACTGAACATTACGAAAGGCGATATTCTACCAACTGTAAGCCATACACACATACACATATCTTTATTCCATGAAAAATATTAGGATAGCGCGAATTTCATATAATTTAAGTAAACTCATTGAATTAGAAGCAGCTTAGCCTTAATTTAAACAAATATATTGTTGCTTGCCATAAGAAACTGCTCAAAAGACTTATATCAAATTAATGTATAGAGTTCTAAAGATGACATTTGACCACGAATATGTACTCAACTGTTGCTGTGACAGTGACAGCTGTATTAGTTTTAGTTTCGTTGTCCGTCGTCCGATTGTAAACATTCGGATAACCTAAAATATTAATTTTTAAGATATATTGTGATTTTTAGGATTCTAATATTATTTAATTTATTATACTTTTATTATATTTTATTTATTATACTGTGTTAGAAAAGATGTCTCTGGAAGACAGTAAAATCGACATAATAAAGGTATGTAGCGGAATATTAAAACCATGATTCTAGTGGGTGGTTATACCATGGTATAAAATGGATTTATGGAAACCCTTCTAGATATTATCAAATTAATTTAATTTCCTTTACATAATTTGGTATAGAAAGCCTTTAATTTGCCACTTTGCTATAAAGTTGAGGTAAACTTTCTTCTTGTATTATTTTCAGAGAAGGAAAGAAGCTACATTCATAGCGGATGGTTTAGATAACAATGCTTCGGCGGATAAAATAATAGAATATTTAGAAGATAATCAAAAGAAAAAGAACAAGATTTATTCTTTGTACAGTCAAACGGTGAGGCAAAGACGTACTACTGCAGGGAAATATCGTGATAACAAACATTTTTTACTTGTTGGGCATCCATTAAACGTGTTTAGTGATGACTGGGACGGAGGTCTGAAGTCCGGATACTTTGAAACATTCTCACACAAGAGTATGTTACCGAAAATGTTATCTATCATTAAAAACATTGACAAAAAAGACCCCGTCACTGAATACATGAAGAAGAAAATGATCTGGCAGGACACAATGGTTGATTATAAAAGGATCATGCGTAAGTTTCATGTATCTTTTATTAGGACATACATAGACAACTCAGTTACACCCCACATTGTAGTTATTGCACAATTGCTTCTAAAAAAAATATTTTATTAGTTTTCAACTTACCATTTGATATTTAACAGGTTTGATGAGTAAAAAACGTAAATACGAATGGATTAATGAAGAAGTATTGCATTGTCCGGAGCAACTGGTGGAGATTGCAGCTCATTATGAACAGAACCCAGACCTTTACTTTGAGAGCAGTTACAATTGGTACTATGCCGGTCATGGCAACATGTTACTGATGAATCTGTATGGAATTGATTATCTGGTGCATAGTGAATTTAGCTGCTTGTGTAAGTATTCTGTAATATCTTATTTAACCTGTTATACGAATACTTTGACGCCTAAATTAAGGGTATAATTTTTGTTGTTTTCTTTTTTACTTTCGTTTTCGTATATCTATCCTATAAATGTATTTTATCTCTTCAAGTTCAAACATTTATTATTGTTAATTCATATTACCTAAATATTGCATCATTGTAAGATCTTTCACTTCAGTGGTGACTTAACAGTAGGGAACCTGCCTGAAACTTACAATATTATTTATTCTTTCTCTTTTTCAGATATTACTTTCTTCCTAAAATATAATTTATTGATAGAACATGACACAAGTGTTACCTTTGACTGTGGACCCGGCCTTAATATTCTTGAAACTATATCATCACAGAACATCATAGCATTGAGAACTAAACATAAAATATTTGTGTTAAAAATATTAGAATGTGACAGTTCCATAAAGATAGAAAAACTCAAAGAAATGGACTCAACATTACCATTCACAGGAATATCTTTTGATGAATATCATAAAAATATTTTGTATGTTACTACTCTGGACTACAAACTCACTATTGTAAACATAGACAGAATGACAGGACGAAGCAGGCAGTTACGAGGTAATGTGAGCAGCTTGGTCGACAACTGGAGCACAGTGATTGGTTCCGAGAGAGGATACTTTACACATGTAGCAAAACATGCAATTACTCTTTATGATAAAAGAACTAATGCCGCTTTCCAAAGGTGGAAAAATCTACGAAATATCACAGACGATGTAGCATGTAATGACATCAGTGTCGCAAGCCACGCTACAGACAAGCGCCTACTATACTTCGGGACTGATCATCATCTATTCCTTATGGATTTACGTTACAATAAGAAAGAGAAAAACAAGCTAAAAGTTGTACAAAGATGGACGCATGGTATGCAGTGCTTACCCACTTATATGTCGGTCCGTAAGTTTGATTATAACAGGGAGCTGATCTGCTTGAGCAGTCAGTGGTGCGAAGATTTATGTGTAGTGAGTAATCACGCCGACAGACTGACCAGGCACACAGACATCAGCAGTGTCGTCATGCCATACCGGCCGCCCAGCGTGCTACAGGCACTAAGTGAAGCTAAGGAAAAGATGCTCTGCTGTGATCTCAACAATCCCATAGAAGACAGACTCTGTACTTCAATCACTGGGCTGTCAGTGTTAGAACAAGATGACAAGTATCATCTACTTATGCTAAACTCTCTCGGGGATGTGTCGTGTCACACGCTGTGCCCGCAATATATGACCGCCTTCTTTGAAGATACAAGTGCAGAACTTCTCAGTGAATGGTGCAAAACTTACAAGAGGGAACCAAAAGACTTAGAGGTATCGTCCATAGAAGACATCAGAAATATTTGGAAAAAGCTAAAGAGAGTACCTGACGATTATAAACTAGGCGAGAATAAGTTTCTCAAGAAAGAGACCAAGTTTACTGAAAAAGAAATATATGATGCGTTTGAAAATGAGGAACTTGATACAGGACTGTTGGATATTTGGACTAAGAACCCATCTGAGGAAACAAAGAATGAATCCTCTTTCAGTTTATTTTTTAACAATGATGATGAATAAAACAATTATATTCTTTATAAACAACTATATTTCCTACCTATATGACTGAGTTTTTCAAGTGAAACAACCTCACACACATCAAATCAACATACAAACATATACACATTAAAATTAATTCATAAACATGGTGCAATGTAGTTTGAAACTTTAGCTGCTTATTAATACAAACAAGCAGCATAAAGTTGGAAGCTACGTTGTTGTAACAAGTTGGGAACTATCAACCATTCATACTATACTAACAATTTAATTTGTGTTACATCAAGCAAAGTCTACTTACAATGCATGTTAATGCAAAGTTGTTAAAGCTTAGCTTTTTTACAACATTTTAAATAGCATCAGTAGGTATCCCGCAGAGGTATTCATTCAGTCTTCGGGTAATTCGTTGAAAACTGAAAAAATAAACAAACAGTTGATATCTCCCAACTAGAGGACAGAGTTTCAACAACCAAAGGCATAAATAATAATTAGATTCCTGGCAAACCTTAAACATTTTATTTAGTTTGAAAACAAAAATTAATGAAACATGTAAATAAATAATGTTTGAATCTAAATTAACAATGAACAAATTTAGATATAGCTAGATGAAAGTTATTTTATAACTAACAAACCAATTTTTATGCATGTTTCTTTTAGGGGAACATAAAATATAGTTTACATAGTACACAATACATTTAGTTGTAGTAATTAAAATAGTGAACACATTTTAATAAATTTGCGATTTCATCAAACTATGCATAATATAGTAATAACAATACATGAGTGGACATTAGACTGGCATTGATTATTTTGTATGATTGCTTGAGTAGAACAATTTTAACTGCTAACATCAATATAAGAAAGTGTCATACAAAATTTACTTCCTTTGTAATTTACACAGTAATAATGTAAGAGTATGAAGGCATAAGTTAATTAATAAATTATACAAGAAAAAGCAATGCTTAGGTATATTTTCCAAGATAAGTTGAAATATGTAGTTTTACTAAAGAACATTAGGTATAAATAAACCTAGAAAATGAATGCTTGGTAATGTATGAGTTATGACTTGAGGTCCTTAATCAAAGTTCTTTAGTTGTTAGCTTGCTATATATACACATGCATATTTTGCTAAACAGGCGTAAAACAGGAAGCACTCGGAATATTTAGAAAAATTACCTTTTTTACAATTATCTTTATTAAAATAGACTTTAAAGTGTGTTTTGTATTCATCAACTACATATACGAACTAGTTTTTTTTTACTTTATTGCACATTAACAGTTATGCCAATCCACATTGAGCAAGTGTGGTGATTAATTCTCCAACCTTCTCCGTGTGAGAAGAGGCTTTGCTCAGCAGTGGGCATTTATAGACTGTTGATGAATGATGATAACATTAACAGTAAAGTTACTACTGTGTATTTTAAATTATATGTTCAAATGATTTAGTCTAGGCGGTAAACTTTCGACTAAGTACTTTTTGCATTCAATGTTTACCTATAAATAAGGAATTAGTTAAATTTAAATTCGTAAAACTACGGCAGTGTAATAACAAGCTTAGTTGCTCATGACTTATGATACTAATTGAAATGAAATATTATAGGATAAATAATACTTGTCTAGAATTGATGTTTTAAATTTTGCTGTATAATGATATATTTGTTCAATCACCAAAACACTTCAACCTCCCCTTAAATGATAGATGTTAACTTTACTAGCCAGACTTAGCCATAAAGCCATTAGTCTTTCAATATAATATAGGCTGATTTGAGCATCTTTTGGATTTCAACAATTTAATTTTGTGTGTGGAAACGTCTCAGTAAGGGCTATCGATTTTGTGCTCACTAGATGGTGCTAATGTAGCTTAAGGCCTTGCCACAGTCAAAACTGTAGCTTAATTTAATTAAGCTAATTAACAGATCTATGTTCTCAATGACACCTCTTGTACAAAATTGTGGCGCGGTACGCCTCCATTACATAATTAAAAACCTTGGATACCTATATGATGGCTATATCTAATTTCTTATGCACATGTATATCATTTACTGACATACCTAAAGCAGGAGTTAGCGCCTGGTGAAGGTCCTTAACCAGCTTCTAGTGAGTGGCTGGTCAGGTCCTTTGTTCTCTCGTTCCTTCTCCTCCAGCTGTTCCATCAACTTGCGCTGGTTCTCGCGGAAGGCAGCGATGGGGTCATCGAACTGACTGTAGTACGTCAGCACTTCACGCACGTCAATTACGTCGGACATGGCTATCGCTGTGAAGGATGATGATAATTTAGTTTTTTTTACATAACTTCACCTAGGAAAGATGCGTTACATTCTTCAGACTATTATATGGAGTTTTTATCATAAAACTGGAAAAAGTGTTTACCACTCAAGTGGTTAACATCGATACACATGTTAATATTAAATCCGCGTTAATCTAATATGGGAGATATTACATTTATCCATAATTAATTCTAAGTAGACAATATAATTTAAAGTACTTACTTTGTAGCAAGTTGGCAAGGTCGAGGAGGGCAGTATCATCATCAGCTCCTTTCCATTTCTTCAGAATGAGGGAGTTCTGTGGGTGGAACTTGGTAGCGGCTTTGTTCCAGTCAATTACTATTACCTGTAATTTAAAAGTAAAGATGGGTAAAGACCGCGCAGGTTAAGATTAGACCGCTAACATAGCATACAGCGATACTGGGACATTACGTAGTACATACCTTAGACAGATCACGATTAAGTCCCTCAAGGTTCTTGACATGTACTCCATCAATGAAGTGTGTGGAGTCCCTGAACAGCCTGTATGTGATGAACTTGTTCTCCGGATCTAACTTATCCAGCACTGGCCATATCATGAAAGCATTCTCCGAGGTAAAGATCACCACCTCGTAGTTGGAACTTGCGACAGTCTGTAGGAACTGGTCGACTCCTGGACGTTTCTTGAACCTGTTGTAGAGGAAGAAGTATTCTAGTGTGATAGACAGATTTATAATACACAAAATAAATTACCTCTAGAGACTAGAGGTGTAGGAAAACTATAAGAATAACAAGATAAGCGTGTATGTATTCGCGTAATTAAGCATTGGCTTATTAACCCATTCAGAACCTACGATTTTTTCATTGATTCGTATGGTTAATGCCAACTAATCAAGTTAAAAAAAAAAAAAACCTCCAGCCAGTCTGGTAGGACCAGTCGGGATGGACAAGAAAAAAAAAAAAATCCAGCACCAGTGTGTAAGTGGGCTGATACGGCGGTGGGAAAAAAAAAAAAAGTAACTTCTCACGGGAAGGCTCCTTTATCATCTGTGTACAAAAAAAAAAAAAATAGAAAATTAAGAGTAATTTAGACTAGTATAGATCCTGGCTTACAGGATTTGCAGCAGTTTTAGGAGGTTTAGACAGGTTTATTCCATAAAAAGAGAAATTTAGAAAAAGACGATGACGCTAAAGCAATTTTGTTGTGCTGAATAGAGTTACCTTTTCATAAAAAGTGAGCTCTTTCCATGTGCGCCGTAGATACTGGAGGACGACGGGCATATGTGAGAACTCGTCCTCTATGATTTCGCCATCATCACCGCGGCGTGGAGCACCCATCTCCACCACCATGCAGCCACCCATCACCGTCATGGCTCCACCAAATACCGCAAAACTGGAATAATGAGATAGTTCCTTATTTATGGTAAAAATACTTGCATTTCAGTCAATCACTTAAATTGTGGTTTAATGCCTCACTTACTGGAGAAGAATATGAACAGTTTAATCAAGGAACATACTTAATACTAGAATATAAGAATAAAATAAATTAATGATTTGCTACATCGAAAAGAATATCATTAATAGAGGGTAAAATTCTCATATTAACAAAATTACAGAGTTTACCCTGTTAGCAATTAATTTATTGGATTTTCTTTTTGTATTGGGTGGATATTGAAGAAGCTAAATGCTATCGAGTTTATTGGTATTAGATTTATATTCTATAATGTTGACATTGAATAAATATTTAGACTTTATTGGATTGAAATTGAATTGACATTGAGTCTGGTTTCATTAGTAAGCACCGTGGTATTGCCAGCAAAAGTTAGTAGTCAATATTTGCCATACCCCATCTTCATTCGTCTCCAACTTTTCTCATTTTCTTCTGTCTTTTCTTTATTCTCCCGTTCAAACTTCTCCTGTTCTTTCTTGATAGCCTGTGCATCTTCTGTAGTGAGAGGACTTTGTGGGAAGAATCGCCCTAAAATATCAGTCTTCTCAGGATCTTTTTTATCTGAAAAATTGAGTAACAAAAAAATTTAGTTTTTTGACTTGTTGAATATAAAATTAAGAAATAAAAATGTTTTTATTTATTTCTTAATTTTTTAATTATTCTATTAATACGAACTTATGTGAATTTAAAAAAGCAAATTTATTAGACATTACAGGTGTATTACATCAGATAATTTTGAATAAAAATTGTAAAAACCATAGAATTTTAAACAGGAATTATAGTATATTCTGTGATTATTGCAAAGATAATAGCACCATTTATCAAATTAATTGTTTCTTATTTGAATTTCACATGTCTTTGCCTATGCATTGTATATTAATGGTTTCTAATTGGAAATGATTATGATGACAGCAGTTGAAATATTGCTGATGACTATTAAAATGTTCTTCTAACATTTTAACATGAAAACTGACTCATAATAAACACTATTGATTAAATATCTGGCCGGTGGAAAGGCGATCTCTGGAAACTAACCTATATCTTTTGTTGTGTAAAATTTTGGTGAGTTAACAGTTAGCAGCCATACGTTTTGCCTTAAATAATTTTTTGAATGTAAATTAGTTATGTTACAGCACGCAGTTCTTGTTAGAGAAAGTACTTTTCTAAGAGACATTATTTCATTTGAAAAATCACATTCACAACAAATGAAGAAACGTCATTGAACTGTCACGATTGATTGATAAAAAGACTTTAGTGTTGTACCTGAAAAACTGAAAAATTACACAAACAAAATTGTATCGTTTACAAGTTAGTCGAGTTTAAATACTGATTATTTTATTACGTATCTGTGCCCGATACGTTCCGTTATTTTGATTTGTATTTTTAGCATTCAAGACATGCTATAAAATAGTATCGAATTTAGAGAAATGTCAACGAGATATGGAACGAAACGTATATAGATTTTGAAAAAGTGAACTTCTGAGAAAATAGCTCAAGTATATATATATTGTAAATATTGTAATATGATAAATTGAACCAGTTTGCGTTGGTATTTATACAATGTCTTCGCTAAGTAAACAGTCTACTTTAATGAATTTTATAAAGAAAACAAATGAAAATTCCACTTTAAACAATGCAAGGTGCGTACACAAACTTATTATAGACTTATTTTGAAACCAATTTTATTAGTAAGCTCCAGTTTTGAATCCTAATCATATTGTTAATAGTGAAACAACAGAATCATCCAGTACATTAATGATCAAACAGTGATTTATCCCTTTTAGGAGGGTAGTGATTTAGTCTATAAAATTCAGGCTTATCATGGGAAAGACCAGTGATTCAATACAAAAATTTCTGCTAGAATTTGTGCATCCCAAATCTTGCCATAAAACTAACAGTTAAATTATAATGGAATTGCTTATGTTTATAAGCAATAATTTTTGATTTAGTAAACAATTAGTTAATGAAACCATGAAAAAAACTAATGAAACAAAGTACAAAATTAAAATGTATTACATTACCTATCTCTTACAATAAGATCTCGCACCAATCAACCAACTTCACAAAAAGGAGGAGGTTCTCATTTTAACCTCAATATATATTTTCATATTAACATTTATTACTATTACAACAAATAATAATTATATGAGAAAATTTTCTCTTTCAGTAGCAGCAAAAATGAGCAGGCCTCAGAAAAGAAACCTAGATTTGTGTTTAAATCAAAATCCACAAGCTCTGGCAATTGTAAGTATAATTTTTATAATTATTTACATTTCAATAACTCAATAGTAATAGATTTTACCACAATACTTTGAAAAGAATAAACATGGAAAACCGAGTTATTTTTATTTTTGCTCTAAAGGAATTTGCATTTTGGAGCAGTCTTAGAATGACATTTTTAGAAATATCTCCCTAAAGAATCACCTTCAGTCTTAATAAATTATTTGACAATGGATTTAGACTTTAACCAATGAACTGAAATTAATTTATATTTGTAAATGTTCTATAAAACCTTATTAATAAATTTTCATACATGAGTGATTTTGTGATCTCCTAAAAATAAATTGTAATGTAACTGAAAGGAGCAATAGAATAGAAATTGTGGTATTATATATGTTTATAGTGAATTGTATGATAAATTAATGTGTCTTCTATGTAAATTGTAGGGACACCTCCATTCAAGAAAATAAATGATCAACCCAGGACAATGACTGTGCCGGTGAGTAAGAATTTGTTGTTGGAAAATTGCAATTAACAATTAACTTTATGTATGTACATATATAAGTATATAAATAAACATATTTCTGTATATACATAAAGTTTTTACTTGATCGGATATACGCAGAAGTAAAGAGACTAACTAAGAAAAAACTACATACTATAAAAAGCTAGTTTCCAGCCATATTTGATATATTTTAATTTCATAAAACTTATTATTTATTTCTCTTAATTTAGATGCAGTAATTTTAAAATTAATCTTCATACATAATATATTACATATTACTTCATACATTCAGTATTCTGATTGTATGCAATTTTTATTTAATTCATTGTTCATTTCAGCCACCTCTAATTACAAATGGCCATCAGGAGTCTGCTCCACCGGTAGCTAAGAGAACAGCATTAAACAATGGCATTAGTCCTATCACACATAACCACACAAGGCAGGATAATTTAAGCAATGATATATTTGAAATGGATGTGGTGAGTACTAATATTAATATTCTTTAAACAATGTTTTGTTTTGACACATTCTTCTATATAATTTTTCTCATGCTACTGAATCTATCACCTGTTTCCTTCTTTGCCTTAATCATTATTATTATATTATTTATTTATTTTTCCCTTATCTTCATTTTCTACATATCATCAGTACTTCCAGTATTTCACATAAAGTAATTCTCATTAATAAATCAATAAATTCCAGGATGATATTCAAATACTTCCAAAGGTACACAAACCAAAATCTGAGTCTCGAACACCAGAGAAAGCAAACAGATCAATTAGAATAAGTTCCACACCAACCCCACCAAAGAATAGACCGGAGAAACAAAGCAAACAGAAGAAAATATTGAAGACCCCTGAGAAAGAGGGCGCCACTAAAGATAAGGACCCACTAAAGAACATTATGGTGGATAAATCATTAACAGGGTTTTTGGATAAGTTGGCTTCTCACTATGACGCTGTCACAAGTTTAAAGGTAATCTATGCTTTTAGTGAAGCTGAAGAGTTTGTTTGGTGGAATACGCTTACCTCTGGTTCTATGAGTTTGGAATTGCAAAAATATTCTTATGTTGATAAGTCCAGTTGCAGAATGCACATAAGTAATAGTTTGTGGTTTTAATTCTCTTCTTGAATGCTATTGCTACATTATTATTTATAAAACTAAAAATTAAATTTACTTAACTCGTTGAGTACCGTCATTTTTTTCACAATTATAGAACAATAGGTTGCGGTCACCGGTGACTGCTTGGTTTTTTTTAGTTTAAATAAAGATACCATAATGTGTGTAATCTTATTGACATTATTTTTTTAGGATGAAGCTGGTCCAGAACACATGGAACGATCTAAAGATATGTACATAGAGTTACTGGAGAAAATATTCCATGCCTTTGATAAAATACCAAATTGTATAAAGGAACAGTTTCCAGGTTATGACAAAAGGGTCTACGCTAAAGTAAAACAATATCAATATAGACTGAAGAAAATATTAGCAAAACCTAAGAAAACTAGTTCATCGCCCCAGGACAGTGAAATTAGACTTAGTAATAGTGATGTCAATTTAAATGGCAGTAGCAGTCCTTCTTTACTAAGTAAATATGAAGAAAATAATGATCTAGATGATTTCGACTTAACACCTAGTATTTCAAAATTAACAAATAAACTCAGTACTTTAAATGGGGCTAGTCTATCAACTAAAACATCAACATCAACCCCAGATATAACTTTAAGTAGTAAAGTGCCAAGGAATGATTTGTTACCTAGACCATCATTATCATTTGATGGATTTTCTCCACTGAATAACTCATCTAAACTAGAAACTAGTTGTCAATCTGAAACAGAAAGTACAAGTTCAGAAGTAAAAGGCAAAGGGAAATTTGTATTCAAGAAACCTTCAAGACTTACGTTAGAAGAGAACAAACCAGGACCGAGTAGCATACAGTCTTCTACAGCAGAACGAATAAGAAATGCTTCAGAGAAATTGAAACCTGTGCCTACAATAGAAAGTCCAAAATGTGCACCAATTGCTCTAAGTTCTATAGACTTTCAAGCGCCACAGTTTAGCAAATCTTCTCTAATTAACATGGAGAGGCCCAGTACAGATTCTAATAAAGAAGAAGAAAATAGTGATCCTATGGATGACTATGAAGTACCAATAGATATGGATGATGTGACTGACATAATGCCTGAAGCTTCTCAATCAATCATAAACATCAGTGACTCAGTTGCCAGTGCAAGTAATATAGATGCTCTTACTCAGTCAGATATACCAATTGATGAAGATGGTTGGCCAGTGTACAGGCCTGAAGATTTTGAAGAAAATGTCAAGGAAAGTGATTTAGATACTCAAGTTTTGAATCTTATGGATGAGACGGTTGTGAAGGAAAAGACTGCCAAATATGAAGGGATGGGCGACTTCCATGCTGGCACGCAAAACGATGGTATTACTGGTGAGTGTATTTTCATATTTTTAGTGAAAATATCGCGTTGTGTGCAGTATTTACGGGTCACTCTCCCTTGTTGCTATTTTATAACAGCTTTTAAAGTGACGGTTTTCTACGGATAGGTGTTTTATAACGTCTCTTGTACCTAAACGTTGAACTGTATATCTATACTTCTTTGCATAACCAAAAACTCGTTCTATTTATTCATTTTAGGTTTTGTAAAACTTAACTATTGAATAATGTATAACTAGAGGCCTCTAGAATATGTGATTTTTTAATCCACTTGTAAAATGATATTTTAATAATTTGTTTTCCTCAGGTGAATTCGACGGCTTAGATTACCCTCACTCAGCGCTGATGATGGAGGTATTCCAAGAAAGATTTGGCCTGAAGTCTTTCCGTCCCAATCAGCTGCAGGTCATTAACGCCACGTTACTGGGACATGATTGCTTCGTGCTCATGCCCACTGGTGGAGGTAAGAATATACTATTTAATATTAGTGCATTTATGATATAGGCTCCCTAATAGTCCGTTATCACCACTGAGTTTGAAATTAATTTACTCTATTAGTATATTTCGCCCAATCCATTCCGATTACGGCGGCCAGTCTTGTCTAACTAGACTGCACACGTCTGATCAGATGAGACAAATACTCTACTGCTATAATGTTTCCAGGTAAATCCCTCTGCTACCAGTTACCTGCCATATTGATGCCCGGTGTCACCATAGTTGTATCTCCACTCAAATCCCTCATCTTGGATCAGGTCAACAAACTATTGTCACTTGATGTAAGTAATGTTTGTGTGATGTCTGTTACTGTTATGCCAATAGCAACTACTAAAGCTTATGAATAGAGTTGAGTTTTGCTTGACAAACACTTGATCTTTTTTTATTCTTATTTTCCAAAACTTCTGTTTTTTATAATTTGTCATAATATTAGTCTGAAAATGTAACGAATGCCTACTCTTTCGAAGAAATAAAAGGAATGACGTGATATTCCTCAGATCCCCGCCGCCCACCTATCCGGCGACGTGTCCCTAGCAGCATGTGACGAGATATACCACAAGCTATCGATGCGTGAGCCGGCCATCAAACTGCTCTACGTCACGCCGGAGAAGATCTGCAGCTCGCCCAAGTTCCAGTCCATGCTTAGTATGCTGTACTCACGAGGGAAACTTGCCAGGTAATGTAGGATGTAGGAAAAACGTCAATGATTGTCAGAAATGCTGGCAATGTCTTTAACATCGTAATTTAATAGCATCGAATGCAATAAAGTATTTTATTTAATATGAATATTTTTCAATCTCAATATAATATTTTTTTCTTTTTCTAGGAATTAACCTCTCGAGTGTCGGTATATGACACGCAATAGAATTTTGCATTAATTGAATCGTCATAATAGTGAATTTTATTAACATTGTTTTTTTAGACATTTAATTATGTATATATTCTTAAATTTCACCATCATCCCCGCAGTTTACCTCGCTAGATTTTTAAGAATAATCAATATTTATCAAGTTCTCAATTCTTAGGGATTAGACACTAACTAATGAAACATGTTTTTGCAGTCATACTCTTTTTTAGCTTTTCAAAAATATCTGAATTTAATTACTTACGTGAGCATAGCCTATAACTCAATAAGTGTTGTCATAGGTTCGTGATAGACGAAGCTCACTGCGTATCCCAGTGGGGCCACGACTTCAGGCCGGACTACAAGCGCCTGGCCGTGCTGCGCCAGCAGTTCCCGGCGGCGCGGCTGGCGGCGCTCACGGCCACGGCCACGCCGCGCGTCCGCCTCGACATCCTGCACCAGCTGCACGTCGCCTCCTGCAAGTGGTTCCTCAGCAGCTTCAACCGACCCAACCTCGCATACAGGATATTGGAGAAAAAACCCAAGTCTATCAATCAAGATATTGCTGCTATCATCAAGGAGAAGTTTTTCAGGTTCGTTTTTTGGTGTGGCTAGAATATAATTAAAATTTTGTCTGTTATCATCTTGTAGGTATCTTAGGGATAGCAATTCCACTATCAAAACTTTAAAGAACGCTGACTTGAGTGGCTGGTGGCAGTTTTAGAACATAATTGTAAATATACCCATGGCCAGAATACCTTATCAATTTGCCAGTACAATGCAACTGACGGCTTGATGTCACTTGCTGATTTCTTTGCATTCACAAGTACAATAAATTTATCATTTTGCCATCTCCCTACAACTAAACCTAAATGATGTACAGGAAATCGGGCATAGTATATTGCTTATCGCGCAAAGAGTGCGAGCAATGCGCTACGGATTTGCGTAAGGCGGGAGTTCAGGCGGCGCCCTACCACGCCGGCCTCAGCGACAAGAAGCGGGAGGAAGTACAGGCCGCATGGGTCGCGGACAAGTACCATGTGGTGAGTGGAACTTTATACCTATATGCCCTAACTTTCATCAGCAACATTTTAATCATTGTGTACCTTATGTCCCAAAAACACTACTTAGAAAATAAAGACTACAATGCAAGAACATTTCTATTTTTTGCATATCTATCTTTACGCAACTTATTTGACAGTGGTCGCGAAAATCATATCTTTATCCTACCCAATATGACATCAGTCTCGAATGAGACTAAGTCTCGAAAGAGATAACGAACGAATGTAGTCAGGTTTGCGATCTGCGATGTGCAAACCTGACTACTTTTCATGCTTGTAATATAATAGGAGTAAATAAATAGTGCAACACCTGGAAATGGTCAGTTCCTACTTTATATTTATATTTAGGGAAAGGTTTTACATCGGTACTATACAATTAACTTTTTACCTTAAATATTATTATTGTTTCTGCATCAGATCTGCGCAACAATAGCGTTCGGTATGGGCGTGGACAAGGCAGACGTCCGCTACGTGATCCACCACAGCTTGCCCAAGTCAGTGGAGGGATACTACCAGGAGACTGGACGCGCGGGCAGAGATGGAGAGCGAGCCACATGTCTCTTGTACTACTCCTACTGTGATGTTGTTAGATACAGGCGGTTACTTGATAGTATGTATCATTTATATTAGAATTGAGAAAGATATCATTGGAATATCCTTTAAATAAAATGTGTGTATCCATATAGTTGCAGTAAAATGATAAGAAACCAAAAAGTATTTTCAGCTTATTCACGTAAGGATTAGAGAGAGCTCGATTGATTTCAAGCTACGATCGTGTCTTGTAATCGACATTTTGTAACAAAGTCGATAGTATTTTTACGAATGTTGGTCTTACGGGTATAGATATAACCTTAAATATAAAAATGAATTGCTCTTAGTTAGTCTTGTTAAAACTTGAAAACGCATCGATTTGGCTAATTTTGATCTTGAATTATTGGGAGTCCAGGAGTTTAAAAGTGAGTAAAAAGTATTTTAGGCAGTACGAAATTTGCCGATTCAGCTAGTTTAATATACAAATACGCGTGTATTACAGTGGAACGCAACACGAGTGCAGAAGCGCGCCGTGTACACGTGGAGAACTTGCTCCGTATGGTGGAACTATGTGAGGGAGTCAGCGAGTGTCGCCGCGCGCATGTACTAGCTTACCTGGGGGAACGATACGATAGAGCGCTCTGTAAGAAGGACCCCGCCACCGCATGCGATAACTGCCTCAATGCTACTGATTATAAGGTTAGATTTGCAATAACAGAGTACTTATTTCAATACGAAAAAGCAGTTTATATTTTAGTTGCTTTAGGTATCAACTTGGTAAGGTAATACGAGACTCGGTTTGTGATGGAATAATATTTATTACTATAGACTAGTACAAGCTGGAGTGCGATATGGTAAAACAATTATAATTTCTATTAGTTATATAGGGACAATCCCCGCTTGAAGACGCGTCTAGTAGGAACGCCCACTGCACCGCTGTCATAGGGCAGGACGGAGGATCGGAGGATGCGCGTGCGATGCATGCTGCGCTGTACTGCCTCTGGAGGCGGGGCCTGCTTACACGTGCCGGGGGCGTAACGCACCTAATGAACGGGCCAAGTGCAAACATCATACGATGGCCCGTATTCATAGTCCAGTTGCGTATATCATCACGACCACTTCTCGGATTGGGGTAAACGATGATTCGTTTTTGTGTATGCGATTTGATCGCTACACTACTCCCCCGCTGAGACCGTAACTACGGGCGAAAGTAGTCTGGAAATCTGACCACCCGGCCGCTCCTGGTTTTTTGGACGACGTTTTGGTCTCCTGTTGGACCTAGATAAGAAGTTGGTTGTGGGGTCTCTTTGATAACGTAGGCTGGCTTCAAACGATCTATTGATATCCTTTGTGTTTTACCCTGGATGTCTATGTCAAAGGTCTTCTGGCTACGGTGCAGTACTTTGTATGGACCTGCATAAGGTGCTTGTAGAGGTCTTTTAACAGGACCGTGACGAACAAAGACATGGGAGGCTTTTGCAAGGTCTTTTGGTACGTAGAATGGTCTACTTGCAATTCCATGCCAAGAGGTTGGCATAGGTTTCAGTCTACTGACGTGAGCGCGAAGTCTTCCGGTAATTGTTGTCATGTCCGTTACATCTCCAGGGTCTGATGAAAAGAATTGTCCAGGTAAGCGGAGTGGTTCGCCGTAGACAAGTTCTGCTGCCGATGTTTGAAGATCTTCCTTCCATGAGCTACGTATACCCAGAAGGACCCAGGGTAAAATCTCAACCCAGTTAGGTGATGCGTGACAGGTGATTGCTGACTTCAGCTGTCGATGCATCCTTTCTACAAGGCCATTTGCTGCTGGGTGATACGAGGTGGTAGTGTGGTGATTCGCACTGATGAGCGTGGCAAGTTCCTTAAATGTATGTGATAGGAACTGACTGCCTCTGTCGGTGGTGATATCTTCTGGACAGCCAAACCTTGATATCCAGCCTTGAATGAGGGCGGTCGCGCAGGTATCTGCTGATATATCTTGCAGAGGGTACGCCTCAGGCCAACGAGTGAAACGGTCGACAATCGTAAGGCAGTACCTATACCCGGAACATAAGGGTAGCGGGCCGATTAAATCTAGATGAATGTGCCGGAAGCGTGCAGACGGTGGCTGGAATGAAGCTAATGGTGCTGTAGTGTGTCTTGTAACCTTCGACCGTTGGCATTGTTGACATGTTTTCACCCATTTTCTGCAGTCCCTCTTAATACCTGGCCACACGAACCTCTGCGTTACCAATTTGACAGTGGCCTTTGTGCCTGCATGGCTCAGGTTGTGCAGAGAGTCGAACACTTGTTTACGGAATGCTGGGGTGATATACGGACGTGGACTTGAAGTGGAGACATCGCAGTAAACGTGGAGGTCTGAATCTGGGGTTCTCATCTTCACTAATTTTAGAGTGGAACCAGATGTTAGTAACTCCTGTAGTTCGTTGTCGGTGTTTTGTTCGTTGGCTAATGTCTGATAATTCAATGGTGGATGTATTTCTTCAACGCGTGATAAAGCATCCGCGACTACGTTCTCGGGTCCAGCTACATATTTAATGTCCGTGGTGAATTGACTAATAAAGTCGAGATACCGGAACTGGCGTGGTGAACAGTTGTCGCGATTTCTGGCAAAGGCAAACGTGAGGGGCTTGTGGTCTGTCATGACCGTGAATGTTCGTGCTTCGACCATGTAGCGGAAGTACTTTATGGCTTCGTAGATGGCCATCAGTTCGCGATCGTATGGACTGTACTTCTTTTGGCTTGGACTTAGTTTCCGGGAGAAGAATCCCAATGGCTTCCATTCGGCGCCTAGCCGTTGTTGTAAAACTGCCCCGATTGCTGTGTCTGACGCGTCTGTTTGAATAGACAGTTCGGCTCGAGGGTCAGGATGGCTCAGCAGTGTTGCCTCGGAAAGACTGTTTTTGCAACGATTGAATGCTTCCATCAGAGTGGGCGTCATTGTTAGTTCTTGTGAACCCCTTCTTTTGGGGCCCGCAAGTAACTGGTTAAGTGGGGCTTGGATGGCAGCCGTGTTTGGCAACAGTCTTCGGTAAAAGTTAATCATGCCGAGGAAACGTCTAAGTTCCTTGATGGTCTTCGGCGGAGGATACTGTTGTATGGCCTGTATCTTCGTTTCCAAAGGTTGTATTCCCGCCGCCGATACCTTGAAACCGAGGAATTTTACCTCGGGTTGACCGAAAACACATTTATTTGTATTTATCAAAATGCCATAATCTGCTAACTTTTGAAAGAGTGTTCTCAAGTGTTGTTCGTGAAGGTTGTTGTCGGAACTATAGACCAAGATGTCATCTAAGTACCCGAAGCAAAAGTCCAATTCCCGCAGAACTTCGTCCATGAAGCGTTGGAACGTTTGAGCAGCGTTACGAAGTCCGAACGTCATGAACGGAAATTCGTAGAGGCCGAAAGGCGTAGTGATGGCTGTTTTGGCTATATCTGCTTCGAAGACTGGTATTTGGTTGTATGCTTTTATTAAATCGATGGTAGAAAACACAGTGCTGCCTGCCAACTCTTGGGTAAAGTCATGGATGTGTTTGATTGGATATCGGTCGGGGATTGTGCGTGAGTTCAATGCTCTGTAATCTCCACACGGACGCCACCCCTCGTTTTTCTTTCGGGCTAAGTGAAGCGGTGAGGACCACGGGCTGTCTGATCTGCGGGCTGTGCCATTTTGAAGCATCTCCTCGAATTCTCGTTTAGCTATCTTCAGGCGCTCGGGATCGAGGCGGCGTGGGCGACTGGAGATGGGTGGTCCAGGTGTTGTGCGGATATAATGTACCGTGGAATGCTTGATGTTGACGGGTTTAACCATCGGACGCGTCACATCTGGATATTCTCTTAAAAGGCGATGGTAAATAGTGTTTTCTGTGGTAGTGCGAACTGACGAGATTGTTTCCGTAGATGTTTGGTTTGGTGTGGCGACTGTTAATGACGTGACGCCATCGATTAGTTGTTGACCGCGGCAGTCGACTAACAAGTTATAGTAGCCAAGAAAATCGACACCTATGATGGGTTTTGACACGTCTGCCACGGTGAAACGCCATGTGAAGGCTCGGCGAAGTCCGAGGTCCAACGTGATAGGTAGGTCACCATATGTAGAAATTACTGTTCCGTTTGCTGCGAACAGTTCATATTTCGTTTTAAGTCGTGCCTCTCGAACAGCAGATCGTGGAAAAACGCAAAGATCTGAGCCTGTATCTACTAGGTATTGTATCTTGGTGGTGCGGTCCGTAATGAATAAGCGGCTCGTTGTTGCGGGGCAGTCGTTAGCCGCCACTAATGGCTGCCTTGATAGTTTTCCGACTTCTTGAAGGTACAGGGTTGAGTACATCTACGTGCTCGTTCACCGAAATGGTAGTGATACCAACAGTGTGGGTGGTCAATAGGGCGAGAACGTGAACGGGGGCGATCTCTGGCGTTTCTTGTTATGGAGCGCGAGCGGCTGTTTCTCTCGAAGTTTACGCTCATAGCCTCCACCCTACGACTGAGTTCCGCGACTGTCCGTGTTAGTG